GGGTTCTGCTCGACATCCCCGCTAATGAGCAAGAGGAGCCGGCAAACACTACAGAGAGCACGTTTGCACGTGCAGGAGAGCGTTCTTCCACTTTCATTCACCCCAGAGCGCCGGGGAGATGCTGCTTGCTCTCTCTCTCTGGTTGCCGATAACATGCCGCCGCCCCAGTCAACAGCGACTGAGTGTAATGCGGGCTCTTGGCTTCCCCCTGGACGGGGCACTGGACCCTGGCACCACGGTGAGGTGGCCGGCATCGCCAGGGGCGTGCACTGTGGCTCGCTGACCTAAAGCCGGGGACACGGCTTGCAACCGTTATTTTCTTGTTGTTTTCCTTAACTTCATTTTTGTCGCACACCTCCTACTCCCCCCCCCCCCCACTGGCCCGCGCTCGGGCACACCATTGTTGCGCGCCGCCCGCCGGCGCAGACGCTCGGGCAAAGCGGCTGCCGTTTACGCCAGCCGCTGCTGCTTCCATGTGTGTGTATTGCCTTCCCCTTCCCCTTCGCTCTTCTTCCTCTTCTTCCGCAACAGCAAGCTAGGCAGCGCACACGCGTTCCGCGTTCTTTCAGTCGTCCCTTTTTTTCCTTTCCGTTTCCTACCGCTCTTGACCATGGCCGTCGTCTACGAGGGGCAGCTCAAGGGGCACCGCGGCTGGGTGACCTCCCTCGCCTGCCCGCAGATCCCTGAGACGTACATCAAGGCGGTGTCGACCTCCCGCGACAACACGCTCATCGCGTGGGGCGGCAACCAGGACCGCAACAGCGAGGAGTGCGAGTACGGCTTCCCGGAGCGCCGCCTGGAGGGCCACAGCGCGTTCGTGTCGGACGTCGCCCTTTCGAACAACGGCGACTTCGCCGTCTCCGCCTCGTGGGACCGCTCCCTGCGCCTGTGGAACCTGCAGAACGGCAGCTGCCAGCAGAAGTTCCTGGGCCACACCAAGGACGTGCTCTCCGTGACCTTCTCGCCGGACAACCGCCAGATCGTCTCGGGCGGCCGCGACAACGCGCTGCGGGTGTGGAACGTCAAGGGCGAGTGCCTGCACACGCTGAGCCGCAACGCGCACACCGACTGGGTCAGCTGCGTCCGCTTCTCCCCGTCCCTCGAGGCGCCCCTCATCGTCTCCGGCGGCTGGGACAACCTCGTCAAGGTGTGGGACGTCGCCTCCGGCAAGCTCCTGTCGGACCTGAAGGGCCACACTAACTACATCACCTCCGTGACGGTGTCCCCCGACGGCTCCCTCTGCGCCTCCTCCGACAAGGACGGCGTTGCCCGCCTGTGGGACCTGACGAAGGGCGAGGCCCTTTCCGAGATCGCGGCCGGCGCGCCCATCAACCAGATCTGCTTCTCCCCCAACCGCTACTGGATGTGCGCCGCCACGGAGAAGGGCATCCGCATCTTTGACCTGGAGAACAAGGACGTCATCGTCGAGCTCGCGCCGGAGGCCCAGCAGAAGAGCAAGAAGACCCCCGAGTGCGTGTCGATCGCCTGGTCCGCCGACGGCAACACCCTGTACTCCGGGTACACCGACAACGTCATCCGCGTCTGGAGCGTCTCCGAGCATGCGTGAGCGCCGGCACCCGCCCTGTGCGGGGCCAACGCGACGCAGCGCCGCTTCTGACCGTGAGCTGCTCTGTTTGTGTGTGTTTGTGTGTGCGTGCGTGCGTGTGTGTATTGGCTTGTGGGGCGTGCACTGTGGCGCGCTGACCTAAAGCCGGGGACACGGCTTGCAACCGTTATTTTCTTGTTGTTTTCCTTAACTTCATTTTTGTCGCACACCTCCTACTCTCCCCCCCACTGGCCCGCGCTCGGGCACACCATTGTTGCGCGCCGCCCGCCGGCGCAGACGCTCGGGCAAAGCGGCTGCCGATTTGACTGTGTCTAGTGTCTCTGTTGCATTTTGTGTGTGTGCTTTTTTGCCCCGATTTGTTTTGAAATGTAAGGTACGCTTTGAGTAGAACTTTTCGTGTTTGTGTGTGTGCTAAGTTGCAAGTGCTAATCGACCGGTGCGACGTTGTAGGTATGCTGCGACGGGGCAAGGCATGGCTGTCCACGGCGGCGCCCAAAAATCCTGCGGCGGCGAGTTCTCCTATGGTTGCCCTGGCGTGGTGCGGTCCCTTTACCGCATGCTTCTGCGGGAGGCTGTAAAGCTAGACAATTCCGCAGTGTCAAAGACGCTCTTTCCGCTCACGAAGGAGCTGCAGGCGATCACGAAAAGTCACGGGCCGCTGTATGTCCCCAACGGTGTAAAGTACGTGGACGTTCTGCGCGAGGTGTTTCACGATGCTCAGTCGCAGGCGAACGTGAATTTGGCCTTTGACACCCTCACCCGCATGCGGGCACACAACGCGAAGGTGACTGCCAACGTCCCCTTCTTTATGAAGGACCACACCAATCTCCTCAGCACGATGGAGGCGTCGCGGCCCAAGACGGGCAGCTACCGCGCCGAGACTGCCGCGTGCGCCGTGCAGAATGGGCCCAAGTACGCGCCCCTAGTTGGCTCAGCCTTTGCCGTCCCCACGAAGGTGGTGCTGCGGCAAACACGCACAGTTGACCTTGCCGAGGGGGCTGCCTTGGTCGCCCATCCTCTCTCCTCAACGCATGTGGATCGTCGCGTAATGTTGATCACCGAACGCAATCCGCATGTCACCACCGCCGTTGTTTTAGATATGCTGTTTACTTACCCCCTGACTCGCGGAAATCCCATGTTCCCCGAGGTTTTTTGGGGCCATGAGGTGCATGATGGTGGCTCTTCGCAAATTGGATTCACCATGCCACCCACAGCGCAGATCAGCATCTTGCACACGACGGAGCCTCCGACGGGGCCCGCCTCCCCGCAGTATTTGGCGTGGCTCAAGTGGAAGGAACGCAAGGCGAAATTCAGGGCCGCCGATACGCCCTCAGAACATCACTCGCTCCTCTGTAAACCGTTGATCCGCGGTGGGGTCTTGGAGGACGGCACGGTGGAGCCCACGCTGTACCTCTCCAAGGTGGAGGCGCTGCCCTACTTGGCCCAGCTCGTGCCAGGCAAGCCGCGGTCCTCCCTGCGGGTGTACTGGGGCAGCATGCGGTGGCCGACGCAGCAGCTGGAGACAGAGGTTGCCAATGCGCACTGGATTCCAGTGAAGCTTTCTCCGTCGTTTTTTTGTCCCTTTCCACTGCAGTCGGAATCGAGGAACGTGGACGAGCGGTTTCCAACGAAGGAGGAGCTGGAGGAGGCAAGATCGATGCGTGAGCGCCGCTACGGCGTGGATGTGTCGCTGCCGCAGGTTTTTCCGCCAGATCAAATTATGCGTCGACGCGAGTGTCTGTGGGATCAAATCATGTACTGCCTTGGGGGCGAGTTCAGTGCCTTGGTGGGCTGCGTGAACCCGTTTTCGGGGACGGCGCGGGGAGTGCTGCCGCTGGAGGTCGCCGCGCCGTCCGTGATGAGTGCCGCGCTCTCCGCCGAGGACGCGGGCGCCCTCGTCGCGGAGGAGGCGGAAGACGACGAAGACGACGACGGGAGCGACGAGAGCGACGAGGGCGACGACGATTTTGCGGTGAGCGACGCGGCGGCGGCGGCGGCGGACGATACGGCGACGGTGGGAGGCGACGGCGCCGCGGCCCCGCCCACGCCGCCGGAGGGTGGCGGCGCAGGCGGCGGCGACGATAAGAAGAAGAACTAAACCCGCGCCGCCGCCCCGACGAAGCGGGGACAGACGGCGGAGGAAGAGCCCGCATCTTTTTTTGTTCCAACACGCCCGTTGCGCGGAGCACCACCAGAAGGAAACAAGTAAAAGGAAAATATAATAAAAAAAAGTCAAGCGATAAGGGGGGGGAGGAAAAGGAGCAAATAACCGCGGCGAGGAAGCTGGTTCGATGCGTCATATTTTGGCCTGCCGGGGCCCGCGCGCGCCAACGAGCAATGGGTC